AGTCAACAATCCCTTCAGAGTGTGAGCAGGTTTCTTTCTAGAGCAGACCACTCCCATGGTGAACTACAACACCATTGTGTCTCTGCAAGGAGCAGGCAATCATGAACTGAATCCATGTTATAGAATATACCTTTCACCTTATAAATTCTTTCTCTCAGGGGAGTTTTATTCAGTAACTGAAGTCTCAGCATCATGGTCTTCTAAAACTGTGTTAGATGCAAAAAGGTAACAGATCCTGAAAGTCAAGATTTAAGGTAGCTGTTAGTTTTTTCCTGCCACCCCAGTATTTTGAGATGATTCCCTATGTTAATTTTCACCCTCATTTGCATTTTTATTTTTCGTCTCATTGCTAATATATAGTTGAATTCTAATCTCTAATATGTGTGTAGTAAGAACTAAGGCCTTGGACATGGAGGCTAACTGGGTTAAGAGGGATCTGTCATCATGAATGGTGTTAATCCCTTGTAAAATTGAATCCAGGGAACTAGCTTAACCATACTATTTAGTTAAAGACATGGATAAGAAACCATGAATTAGACAGTTAGTACCAGAACCTGAAATTGTCTGCACCTTGAGCACGTTCTTTCTACTCTGTGAAAATGTAAAAATAATTGTGTGTACTTGATAATCCACCAAGTTCATAGACCCCTGGTGATTGCAGTCCTAGTGGACAAAGACACACTCTATAAACTATGCCCACACTTAGCCCATAATAACCGCTATCTAAGAGAAATGGCACCTATGTCCAAAATCTTTGTAAAAAGATATAATCATGATATTCAAATTGAAATTTTAAATTTTAAAAGTTTCAGTGCAGAAACTTTTTCATGATATTGTAATGTATACAAATAAATGTTCAGTAAACTGGTAGGAATTAGGTTCAAACAGTGAAGATAGAGGAAGACCTGTGTCCTAGGTGATATCTTGTTAAGGAGGTAAAGAAGCAAACTGTGAGATTTTAGAGCTTCATATGCCCAGCTATTCATCTTCATTCAAGGAGAACTGTCAGATACTTTTCATACCTGTTATAAATATTTATTAAATAACAAAATTATTTTTCTGACATTATAAAATCTAATGATAGCCACTATAAAATCTGTTATCTTCTATTTGTTAAAAAAAAAAACCTACCTCCCTTATCCAATTCGTTTTACATGTCACAGTTTGAGAAAAAAGGCAGGGATTTCATTCGTTTCAGTTCTGATAACTTAGATCATGAGACACATACTGCCATCAGCTGCTAAGAGTGGTGCCAACATTCAAAGTGGCTGCCTGTCCTCCACAGAACTTGTCCACTCCCAGTCTTTTTTTTATAATTAATTTTTATTTAAATTAAAACAATCTCATTTTACATAATAATCCCACTTCTCTCTCCCTCCCATTCATCCTCTCATCACCCCCCGCAACTCTGTCATGCCATCCTAGATCCATTCATCAGGGAGTATGAGGTCTCCTAAGAGGGAATCATTTAAAGTCTGTCATCATTTGGGGCAGGAACTAGGTGCTGCCCCATGTATCTAGGCTGAGCGAGTATCTTTCCATGGAGAATGGGCTCCCAAAGCCCATTTATGCACTAGGGATGAATACTGGTTCCATTGCCAGAGGCCCTATAGATCTTCCAAGCCCCAAAATTGACACCCACGTTCAGGGGTCTGGTTTGGTATTATGTTGGTTCCCCAACTGTCAATCTGGGGTCTATGAGCTCCCAGTTGCTCAGGTCAACTGTTTCTGTGGGTTTCCCCAGAATGATCTTGAACCCTTTGTTCATCACTCCTCCCTCTCTACAACAGGGTTCCAGGAGTTCAGCTCAGTGTTTAGCTGTGGATCTCTGCTTCTGCTTCCATCACCTACTGGGTGAAGGCTCTATGATGACATTGAAAGTAGTCGTCAATCTTGTTTTAGGGGAAGGGCAATTATTGTAGCCCTTAGTTGAGCTCATCCTTCAGAATTCCTGGAGATTTCCCTAGTGCCAGATTTCTTGAGAAGCCCATAATAGCTCCCTCTATTAAGGTGTCTCTTTCCTTGCTCTCCTCTTTTTTTCAGTCAACTCTACCTTCCTGCTCCCTCATGTTCTCCACCTACCTCCCCTTCTCCCCTTCTCTTTTCCTCACTTCCTCCCCTCCCCTGTCCTCCCAATTTATTCAGGAGGTCTTGTTCCTTTCCCCCTTTCTCTTGCATTCCTCCTTGATTCCTAGCTTCTCTGGGTTTGTCAATTTTAGGCTGGTAATCTTTTGATCTATGTCTAATACCCACTTATGAGATAGTGCATACCATGTTTGTCTTTCTGTGTGTGTTGCCTCACTAAGGATAGTTTCTTCTAGTTCCATCAGTTTCCCTTTGAACTTCAAGATTACATTGCTTTTTTCCCACTGAGTAGTACTCCATTGTGTAAATGTACCACGTTTTCATTATCCATTCTTCCTTTGAGGGACAACTATATTGCTTCCAGGTTCTGGCTATTACAAATAATGCTGCTATGAAAATAGTTGAAATGATGCTCTAGTGGTATGAGTGTGCATCCAATGGATATATGTCTAAGAGTGGAATTGCTGGATCTGGATTTCCATTGATTCCATGAAAAAAAAACAGATTTAAATAATATCTGTCCACTAATCCAGCCCTAAAGAAAGTACTGGAGGGAAAACTCCAAGCCAAGTAAGTTAACTAAACTCACAAAAACATAGACAATAGATTATCCCACATTACCAGAAGCCAAAAGGTGGGTGGAATCCAAAAACAATAACACCACCACCACCAAATCCAAAACTAAGAAGAATCAGCAAGCAATGGTCATTTATATCCCTCAAAATCAATGGACTTAACTTGCCTATTAAAAAGACACAAGCTAACAGAATCCGTTGATATAAAGACAACATCCATCTTTCTGCAGCATACAATAAACACACCTCAACTTCAAAGATGGATGTTACCTCAGAGTAAAGGGCTGGGGAAATATTTTCAAATAAAATAGATCTAAGAAACAAGTTGTTGTAGATATCCTAATATCTAAAACATTAGACTTAAAATTATAATTAATCAAAAGAGATGAATAAGGTCATTTAATATTTGTCACAGGAAAAATAAATTATGATGAGCTTTCAGTTCTCAACATCTATGCCCCAAATATAAAGACACTCACATTCATTAAAAAAAATTAGTAAAACTCAAATTACACCTAAAACCCCACACACTTGCAGTGGGAGACTTCAAAACCAGACTCTTGCCACTGGATAGGACTACCAGACATAAACTTACCACAGAAATAAAGGAACTAACAGAAGTTATGACCCAATGGGTTTAGCAGACATCTATAGAACATTCAATTCAAACACAAAAGAATATACCTTCTTCTCAGTGCCACTTGGAACCTTCTCTAAAATCAACCACATACTCAGCAACAAAGAAAATCTCAAAAGATACAAAAAATTGATTAACCTCCTGTATCTTATAAGATCATGATTTAAATTTAGAATTCAACAACAACACAAATGCAGAAAGCCTACAAACACATGAAAATTGAACAATGATCAATTGCATCATCCCTGGGTCAAGGATGAAATTAAGAAATTAAAGGCTTCTAGAATTCAAAGAAAATGAAGACACAACATACCTAAACTTACAGGGCACTTCAAAACAGTGCTAGGAGGAAAGTTCATAGCAATAATTGCTCACATAAATAAACTGGAGGATAGCCACATTAGAGAATAACAGCACACCTAAAAGCTCTAGAACACAAAGAAGCAAACTCATCTAGGGGGAGTAGACAGTAGAAAATTAATAAATTGATGTCAGAAATTCATAAAGAAGAAACAAAGGAAAAATACAAATAATGACACAAAGAGTTGGTTCTTCGAAAAAATCAACAAGATAGACAAACCTTTCCAACCTAACCTAGAGGCAGAGAGAGAACAGGCAAATTAACAAAATCAGAAATGAAAAGTTGGACATCACAATGAACACTGAGTTAATCTAGAGAACCCTGAGGTCATACTTTGAAAAACTGTGTTCCAGGCCTTTCTGAAACATCCCTCTAAAGAAAATACTAGCTGTGCTCTCCACATGTGTCTAACTTGTTCTACTCTTGGTGGGCAAGGTCTGATGCCATCATATTTGACTCCTCTCAGATGTTTAGAATTTGAATGTGAAATGTATCACAGGGTCCAGAAATTTCAAGATTGGATGCCAGCTGAGGTATTTTAGGAGTCTGATTGTGTTCTGAGAGCTTTGTTCTAATCAATAGGTAGTTTCCTTACTGGATTCTTAATTGCCTGCCTGACTAAGAAGGGAGAGGAAGTCTGAGGTACAGTATAGTTATGAGTAGGTCATTGGTATCTTGTCAAGGAATGATAAACCCACTCCAGACCCCTTTTCTATCACGTTTCTCTACTTCCTGCTACCTTCTACGAGGTAAAGAACTTTTGCCTCTGCCACAAGGTTCTGTAATATAATATTCTTTTTTCACATTGGCTTGAATCAGTGGATCTTTCTACTGCAAGCTGGAAAACCCTAAGACAAAATAAACCCGTCCATGCTTTAAAGTTGATTGTCTAGGGCAGTACAAATGTGTTAGTGTTTGAATATGAAATATCCCACAGGGCTCTGGAATTGAGATCTTGGGTGCCAACTAGGGAGTTTTAGAGATATGACTGGGATCTTAGGACTCTGTTTTGGTCAGCAGGTAGTTTCCTCACACTGGATTCATAATTTGGTTTACTGATTGAGAAGTCATAGAATTTGTAAGAGTAAAATAAAAGTAAAAATAACTGCTACAAAGCTCAAACATTGAGAAAAGAACAGCAAAACCAGACAGCCATTACCTGGCATTCCCTCTATGTCTCATCTAGTACTTCTATTATATTTTACAGTTAGGGCAGTCTAGAAATCCAATAAGGTTAGATTATAAAGGCTGTAAGAACTATAGAGATTTGGCCTTTCTGTGGTATTGGCCAATAGTAAATTTTGAAATTTTAATTATATTTTCTCCACACAATATATTCTAAAAAAGTATAGGATACTTCATGAATTTGCATGTCATCCTTTCACAAGGGTCATGTTAATCTTCTCTGTACCCTTCCAATTAAGTATATGTCCTGCTGAAGTGAGCACTTGACAATGACAAATAGCAAAAAAATGTGTGATAATATGAGTAGAACATTTTATCCAGCTTCAGAAAAACTGATCTGTCACCTGATACATGTTAATGTGCTGCTCTTTTCAGAGGAGCTACTCTCTTATTTATGACAAATTGGTATTACCTTAGGCCAGTACTTAAAACCAAATTATAGTGAGTACTTGAATGCTTTAGAAACAAAATAAAAGGAGTATTAACAATGAATATTGATTGCAGCCTAAGTGAATGTCTGTGAACTCTATTGACTTTCAGGAATATAGAGAAAGGCAAATATGCACTGTGTGTGTGTGTGTGTGTGTGTGTGTGTGTGTGTGTATGTGTGTTAGTGTGTGTGAAACAGAGAGAGACAGAGAGACACACAGAAACAGAGAGAGATGGAGAGACAGAGAGACAGAAAGAGACAAAGAGTTTAAGGGAATGGAGAGAGATGAACATGTATTTCAATATCTTTGATGAAATTTACATGTGCTTATAAATTCACTTGTATTTCAACTGCAATTTATATTATATTACTTGGTTATTATTGGTCATCTAGTTCAAATTAAAGCTTATTATGTATCTAAGGCATGTGTTCTTTTATTTATACATCATTAGGAAGTACATATAAAGATATAAGCACTCTTTTTAATAGACTTATACTTAAAATAAATTTGAATGTGAATTTCTGGTATAGCATGAAATATAAATATATAACAAGAAAATTATTACATTTGGAAATATCATTTTTGAAGTTATTTGGAACAGACTGTTGATACTTGTCTTAGTCTTGGGAATTAAAGAGGTTATTTTGGTAACAATTCCAATAAAAGTTCAACAAATCAACAAAGGCAGGAACTCACACAGGCACCCATAGAGCAATGCTGCTTACTGGTTTCTTCTCCATGGCTTCCACAGTTGCCTTTTATAGAACCAGCCTAGGGATGGCACCACCCACACTGGGCTGGGCCTTCCTCCATCAATCACTAAGAAAATGCCTTATAGGCTAGCCTACAGCCAGATTTTATAAAGGCAATTTTCTTAATTGAGGTTCTCCCTTCTCATATGACTTTAGTTTACATTGACACAAAACTCTCCAGCACAATTGTCACACCTGTCAACTTTACATTCAAACACATCACCATTAAGTCCCAATATTTCCTTTCTCATTCTTCCCCAATGTCTCACATTAAAAGCATAAATAACTTAGTAAGTCCTACAGGAACATCTCACATTAAAAAAAATCTCATATAAAAATTTCTCACACAAATAACTTGCAAAATGCCACATTTCTTTACAATTTCAAACATTAAAAGTTCAGTCTCTTAAATGTCTAATCTCTTTAAGATTACAAAATTTCTTTTAAAGGTTCAAAGCCTTTATGTAAATTTCAAATTTATGTTAAATACTTCCTTTAAGAGAGAAGAACCAGGGCATAGTCACAACCTGAACAAAGAAAAACAAATTCCAACAGTGTAGGTAACTCAATGTTCACTTATTTGGGATACACTCAGGATTTTCTAGAGTCCTTCAAGGGGCTTTGGTAACTACTCTGGCTCTGCCATTGCAGCACTCACAGCTTCTCATCTAGGCCTCCCCTCCATACCTGCTGATGTTCCTAGTGGTCAAACTGCTGATCAAACTCTTGGGATCTGATGATATTATACTTTCACAAATAGCCTTTTCTGGGCTTTCTTCATGGTGCCAAGACTCAACTTCTCTGTATGACCCTTTAAATCCTGAGCCTTCCAATGCTCTCCATGACTACCTTCATGGCTTCAAAACCAGTACAACTGATGCAACTTGAGGTCCACACTATGAGACAGAATCCACACATGATACTGCCCAGATCAACAGAAAACAGAGGCAGAACAGCCCAGAGAGTCAGGATAGAACCAAACATGACTAGGTAAAAGTGAGTCAATAAAATAATTCTAATGATATTCTGCTATATTGATAGTCCAGTCATCATTATAATGTGTCAACTAGCACCAGAAGAAAGCAGATGCAGAGACACACAACCCATGGTCTCAGAAGAGGGGGAGGAAGGATTGTAGAAGAAAGAGGAGTTGTTGGCATCATGAGAACAAGGCCCATAGAATCAACTAATCAAGGCTCATAGGGACTCAAAGAGACTGAAGGAGCAATCACAGAGCCCATATGTGTCTTCACTAAGTCCTGTGGTTGTTTTGATTGGGTTTTCTATTGGATGACTAACAATGGGAGTGGGGTGTCTCTGACTCTTTTGTCTGCTTGTGGAAACCATTTCCAACTACCGGATGTCATGCCCAGGCTTGATATGTGGGTTTATACCTATTCTTATTACATATTGTTATATCTGCTTGATTCATACACCTGGGAGGCCTGGTCTTTTCTTAAGGGAAAAGGAGAAAAGGGGGAAATAGGAAAGGGTGTAGTTTGGAAGTACTGTATCAAAGAATAATTAACAAAATAATCACAGCCAAAACCAAATTCTCTTCCAAAGTAATTTCTGTAATAAAATTTGAAGAAACAAGAATATATGTGGAGGAATCTCAGAACAAGAGAAGTATCTTTGTTTTGATTAATTCAATTCTGTCCAACTTCAAAGGGGGCTGCCCATTTTCATAGATGGGAAAGGTCAGCTTCCACATCTCATATTTGGACACAAAGGCTGAAGTAGGGACTTGTTTTTTAAAGCTGTTCTTTGGTCTATTTCCTTATTTATGAATAAATCAAAAAAATGAAACAAAAGCCACACTTTCCTTTATTGTTAATAATTGCTTTTTCTGTAAAATACCAAACTTACTTGCACACACACACACACACACACACACACACACACACACACACGCAGAACCATTCTTCTTTATATCCCAATCATATCATCTCCTTTTCATAGCTATGAATGCCATATATCCTATCATTTGCTTCATTGACATTTATGAAAATGAAGCTTTGATGTTTCTCCAAAATCTTAACAGACAAGGAAATAATGACCTTGTGCAGATGAAGATAAGAAGTAATACAAAATATTTGGAGGAATGTAAGAAAATCCTATATTTTCAGGGCATTAGCTTTCTCTAATTTGCCAAAATAATAACTTACTACTGCTTATTAATGACACATTATTTTTAAAGTCACTGGCATTTATTTCTTATTACACTTAAAAACAAATTTTAATTACACAAAATTACACAAGCCTTTAATAACTCAGAAATTGTCTACTCTGATTCTTCATCTTATTCAAACTGTGAAATAAAGGAAGAAAAAGAAAGTTTCTGAAAAACAATCAATGCTGCATTTTTGACACTTTTTTTTCATTTTTTCTTCTATGATAGTGATTAATGATCCTAGACTTTACTTGTCTTTTATCAAGTTCTTTCAGGTTCTGCTTTAGAAGTAAAGCTTAACCTTTCTCCTCTTGGTCAAGGGTATGGGAGCCTTCTGGATAATGACAGATTATAAATAAGAACTCATACAGATAAAGAGTTTGAAATTTTAATGTGTACAGATAGGGTAAAAATAACCTCTTCTCAAATGCTTCCTCTCCTGTGTCTGGGTCTTTTCCTATGAGATACTTTAAAGTAGCAACAAAACTTTTAGATAATAAATTATTTTTTTGGATACAGTAATAAACAATCAATTTGTGCATACAAATAAGTACAAGAGATTTGAGTTGTATTCATAGACAACAGGTTGTGGTTCAATTTTCAGGGTAGTATAGGAATATTCATAAAACTGTATCTAATTTAATGAAAAATATGACTTGAAAATTGAACAGTATTTTATCTTTACATTAAAATATCTGGCTAGGAAGAAAATTTTGCTATTCACAAAAAGGATTTTAAGTTTTATAATATGTCATTTTACTCTGGATGTTTGAATGTGCCAGACTGTTCCACTTTCTTTCTGTGTATTTAGCAAAACTTTTGTGATACTGGCAATACATGCTACCCATGCCCTCTCTTGCAGTGTATTTCCTGTATACATCTATAGGACTCAGAAAGTCACCAATACAGTGTGTGTGTGTGTGTGTGTGTGTGTGTGTGTGTGTGTGTGTGTGTATGTGTGTGTTTATCAGAATTAGCTGAAGCAAAAAAATAAATATTTGTAATCTACAGAATTAAAATAAAAAAAAACAAAATAGTGATGTTTCATCATGGTTGTTGACTAGAGTTAGAGATGCCAAAAAATTGGCAAAGCATACTCCAGTGTGTTTAATGGCATTTCTACAGAAAACTGACTAAAGATCAATGATATGGAGAAAGAAGTTCTATGTAAATGAAACTGGCACCATCCTATAGGCTGGGATCCTGGTGGAATGGAAAGGGGAGGCTAATAGAAGCACATTTTACCCCACATGTGGGAACCCAACACTACTATGCTATAAACTATACAAGTTAAGAATCCAGATTCAGGACTGGAGAAATGGCTCAGTTGTTAAGAGCACTGGCTGCTCTTCCAGAGGACCTGAGTTCAATTTCCAGAAACCACATGGCAGCTCACAGCTCTCTCTAACTCCAGTTCCAGAAGATCTGACATCCTCATACAGACATATATGGAGGCAAAACATCAATGAACATAAAATAAAAATAAATAATAAAAAAAAAGAATCCAGATTCTTCAGCCTTTGAGCATACACTTGCACAAGGGTTCTTTTATACTTTCACACCAATTTGTCTTTCTTATTCTGTGGCTTTTGCCCCTATATACTGAATTACTACTGTTTCTCCAGCTCTTCAGACTACAGATAGTCATCATAGGACCATGATGAGGGAGGTCCTTCTGTGTATATTTTTGTCATATTGGTTGATAAAGCACTGTTGGCCAGTAGGGGAGCAAGTTAGGCAGGACTAGGAGAGAAGGAGGATTCTGGGAAATGAATTAAAGGGTGGAGTTGCCATGTGATCCTGGAAGAAGATGCATTCTGCTTGCATCCTTGATAAGATAAATCTTTATAAAATACATATATTAATGGTTATGGTTGATAATTAACACTGAGCTAGCAGATAAGAAA